GGGTTTTAACCCCAACTTCACTAGGGTTTGCGCTAGGGTTTTAACCCCAACTTCACTAGGTTTTGTGCTAGGGTTATTACTCCAACTTCACTATGGTTTATGTTAGGGTTTTAACCCCATTTTCACTAGGTTTTGTGATGGGGTTTTAACCCCAACTTCACTAGGGTTTGCGCTAGGGTTTTAACCCCAACTTCACTAGGTTTTGCGCTAGGGTTATTACTCCAACTTCACTATGTTTTATGTTAGGTTTATAACCCTAACTTGGCTAGGGTTTGTGCTGGGGTTATAACCCCAACTTGGTTAGGATTTGTACTAGAGTTTCTAACCCCAGCAACTTGGGCAGGGGTTTGCGCTAGGGATTCTAGCCCCAACTTGGCTATAAGGTTTTTGCTAGAGTTTTAACTTCAACTTGGGTAGTATTTGTAGTATAGGTTTTCCCTACCCGAAATTGGGTAGGGTTGGAACCCCAACTTGTCTAGGGTTTGTGCTAGGGTTATAACCCCAACTTGTCTAGGGTTTGTGCTAGGGTTTCTAACCTTAAATTGAGTTAACACCAAAAGGTTGGTCGTCATGTTTTCCTATTTCAGACAAGATGTCATTCTCTTGAGAATAAAATTGAGTCGTATCCATGGTTCACATATCTTCTCAGTATGTAACTGATAAACAAAGAAAAGACACTCTAGAGAATGACACGTGGTCGTAAATGGGAAAACATAACGCCCAAAGTAAAGAGATCTATTGATGCTAGCCGGTACTAGCATTTTTTATCATTACGTTGATATGCATCTTACAGATGTTCCCGCGCGGGTCACTCGCGCGGAGAATAAGACATGTAATGGTTCAAATGGTGTGTTGGACTTCCGGCGGATGTTAAGACAGATCTAAGTAAAGAATGAATCAGTCCGGACCGAGAGAGCAGAATCAGTCTCTCAAAATAGATCGAATAATCTTATGCCAACTAGATGGATATGAAGTACAATCCTCAATAATGTAAGTGGAATAGATTACTTGTATAGTTTACTGAATGTGACGTGCTTAGCTACAGTGTGTGTAGTGATATTTGTTTTAAATAACTCTTAATGGTTTATGGTGTAAGATCGGATGAAGAGAATAAAACGTTCCGCTTTACAACATTTTCACAACGTTTTCTTTGCCTTTCCCTTTAATATTTTCGAGGGACGATGCTCAATCTTAAGACTCGCGTCTGTCGTTGAAACTTTGCACGATCAAGATGACGCATGATAAATGACTTAGAAACTAATCCGACAGCTGAAGCACAAATCTGTCAAGAATCTTATGACTTGACTGATTGACAGAAATGCAAAGCCAGGGCTGGGCGAGGGAGGCACGTCGCTCTCCCTGGGCGAGGGACGCGCCCCGTACGTAATTAATAAGTAGACGAGCCAGAGACGAGCCATAATATGGGCAGTGTCAGACGAAACATCCAAACCAGTATGGGTGAGAGCCGCCCAAAATGAAATTTCCCAGGAGCTAGATGCGAGTGCAGACTTCGTGATAAAATTCGAGAGGATCTCTCGCTTAGACGTCTAGGGAGACAATGTTCGAGAACACAAGAAACGGGAAATAAAGAATAAACACTGCGCTATAGAGACTCGGCCATTGATCTTGATAATAACAGTCATGTGTCGGTAGTTTTATTCTCGACTGAATAGGACATTTGCGTGATGGCATCATTTGACTCCCACTACCAAGATGCTTCGCAAATTTTCTTTCTTATTTAAATTTGTATTCCCTCATGAGAATAGTAAGACAGTGGGTGCTAATTAACTGAACAAAAGAAATTGTGCAAGGGAGTCTGGTCCTATTATTTTGTTAGTTGTTACAGAAATGACGGAATGGTATGAACGCATCTTTTGTGGAAAATCCCCTCAATTTTGGTATATCATTGCTTACTTAAAACAGCCCTCACAAACTTTTTTCTTACCCAATAAAGATATTATAAATTAGATATATAGATATTATTATTAATATCTCCAATCATAAAATTAGATATTTTTTTCTGTCAACCTTTTTTAGAACAAAAATTCAAACATTTTTTTTTGTCTGTGCAATCAACAATGTTGGAGATGAAGGGTATTAATGACAGGAAGTGATGTAATTAAATACGCTTATGTTGTTGGAGATTACATGGCGGCATATAAGTAATTGAATGTTAGTAATGAAAAATACAAGGATACAAACAAGTATACTTCAAAAAACCTTTGTTTGGTAATGAGATTTAGTTTTAATTTATTGATGTTGAAGTAATAAAGGCAAGGCAATTGGCAATATATATAGGTAGTCAATGCCCGAAAATGTTTTGAAATATTTCTTGCTTTTAAAAATGTTGATAGTGGCATTTTTATTTCAACCTACCTTTTGATGCTTTTCTTATTGCGTTTTACCATTTGCCAGTATTTTCACAATTTGTCCCTTAGATTTTCTCCAGAAACATACTAGTTGTTTTTTTGAAGAAAGCTTTTCCTTTGACAAGGCAACAATCAAAACAACAAACGTTAAACACCAAACGCCACCATGGGTAAAAACACGTTAAAGTCACATATACGAACATCTATGTACCTTAGTGGTTATTTCATGCAAAGTTTAATCTTGCGATCTTGTTCGTTTCCTTTGCCGAAGAAAGCATAAACATCCGTTATTAACTGAGACGATGATTGGCTAAACCACACCCGTCCGCATGCCATGGAAAGAAAAATGTGCTCGTTGAAAAAAAGGTTACACGTAAAAACACTTCAAAATTTAAGCTGAACTTCTTCTTTAAAAATCATGGACATGACCGAACGGTTGTATTTTGTTTTTACGGCAACCATAGCATATAGTTTTTATTTCAGCCAAAAATAAAGAAAAACTTAGCTTGCGATATATTTTACTACCGACCAGAATGTCCTTGCCAAACTTTAGTTTATTTTGAAAAGACTAATGCACATATATAAAGAATTGCAAAGAAAGCCCCAATTACTGATCCGACGAAGGACTAGCTAGTCTCCCCCACAGCCGCTTTCAGTGTCGTCACGCTACTCACTGAAAGCGGCTGTGGGGGAGACTAAGGACTAGCGCCCGAAACGTCAGTAAGTTTTTCATCTTTTCAAGGTGTAAAATTTATCCTTTTATCCATTGAGGTGGGCGCATCTTGTACAAGAAAAGAATGTTTGACCTACCAAAGCACCCCGGGGATTCAAGGTGCTCTTACTTTAATTTGAACCAAATTTGGATATCGGGTTTATTTTTGGATCGCACACTCCCCGATAATTTTTCAATTACATCATCAATCGGGACCGACGCGTCCCGTACCCTTGCCGATCAAATAACATCTCCTCATGTTTCTCATTTGGTTCATTTTCTACGATTAAGAAAACCGCCAGGACGCTTACGGTAATCAAGAAATGTAATGATTACCGTGTTTTTCCTCCGATAAACTAAAGTCGCGAGGCTCACGGAAATTCGGAAATTTGGCCATTGTTATATGTAAGAGGGAGAGTTACCGCTAACACCTACCTCTCCTCTCTTCCTATTTACTTGTATTAAATGCTGTGAAATAATTTGTTGTGGTTTGGGACCAAAACGCATGGGTCAGATTACTCGTTGATGAACTTAGTTGCACCAAAAAAAACTTTGTTAATACCCTGAAAAAACCTATGGGCTCATCTATTTAGGCATTTTACTCCGACGAAGGACTAGTGTCCGATACCTCAGGAAGTTTTTTCATCTTTCCGCGGTGTCAAATTTACTCTTTTATCATTACTGTTTCACATTAGAAACACGGAGCAGCTCACATTAGTTTTTAGCTAGTTATCTCTTCTACTTAGGCATGGCAAATTCACAGATTGAATCTCGAAACAGCTGATCAAAGTCAGGATACGTTTTGCAGAGGTCCTGGAAAAAACCCTTGAATTACGTGAGAGACCAAACCTTTCAGGCAACTGGATTTGTTTGTGCAGTGATAACCTCCCGTGGTCCAGTATTAATCCCCCTGATCATTGACAAAAAATCTTGTCTGTTGAGATTTTAAAACCGTCTTAGATTTCTTATCCACCTCCAACTAAACATACTCTTCCTTATATGAACCAACAAGTGGAAAAGAAAGAAAAGAAACCAGATTTTTGAATTTCTTATGGAAATTTTCACCGCGTGACTGGGTGTTCGTTTTTGAGTTTCTTCACTTGGCTCTCCTTTCACCTTCAATTTTCATTTCCGGTGAGATGTTGTACAAATCAAAGCAACAACTTTGATATGTCCGGTCGGAAAAGAAAACTAATTTACTTGTTTTGACTTACTCTATTCAAGATAAAATGTCTTGAAGATACTTTGTGTTGAATAAACATTTGAAGAGAAAAACAAGCCAGTACAGGATGTGAAGGTCAGTTCGAAAATGAGGTTCTTTAGATCGATGGTCTTGGGGGAAAAAGACAATGGAGAATTTCAAGGTAGTTAGTAGAGAGTTTGAAATACTACATCACGGTGTTTTGAAGGGAATATAGTATTTCGCTACTTTTTTCTCATGCTTACTCGACTGACTTTCTTGAATAGTGAGATTAATGCAATAGTGAGATTTGAACAAATTTAATCGATTTTGGATTCCAGAAATTGAGAAAAGAAAGATGTGAGGAAAAAATGCCTTTTTCTTAACACATTAAGCAGTATAGAGTCTTAGAAATCGTGATCTTCAAAAAAAAAAAAAAAAAAAAATTAAAAAAAAAAAAAAAAAAAAATGAATATCAAAATTAAGACATTGCGAGAGAATGCTTACTAAAGGAACTTCGAAGGGAGACCTTTTTTGGAAGAAAGCACAACAGTTTGAACTAAAAAATTTTCCCTCTACCTCGTCTCGCGTTTTCTTTTCTTACTTTCCGGTTTATTTATTCTTCAGTATCATATGTTGTATCTATTCTTCCATCCGACACCCACTCACTTCCGGCGCGGTTCACTAACTCGAGAGTGCAGGCGGAAGGGTGGTGTAGTTCGCGGCTTTCGTTCGCGTGTTCATCCGAGCCTATAAAAACACCGAATCAATTCAAACCGGCGTCATCTCGAGGTCAACAGTCCAACCTATTGGTCTCTTGGTTCCATCAAATTCATTCAATTCAAGGATATGCAATCACAGTAGACGTCGATGATTTAGACCCTGTGAGTTTCCTAAATCTCTCCCTCGTTCTTTAGTCATTGTTAATTCTACTAAGCAGAGGAGTTTTGGCTCACGTTGCCACGAGTTTGCCTTTGAAGCCTGTTCGTATCGTGTAAAGGTGAGTGTTTCACAAATCAACTCGAATCAGTGATGAAAAATCGTCTTGTTTTGTTTGAGTGGCAACAAGCTTTGCTCAAGGTTCAAAGAGGACTCGAAATTCTTTAAGGAGTTGGACGAGTTTCAAGTTCATCGTGCTAACAACTCTCTTATTACTAGTAAAATAATTCATCTCAATTTCTAAATCCATTTTAGCGAGTTATTTAGGGCTATTATAATATCTTTTTTTAGACCTCTTAGTATTACGATGCTCGATAAACTGTTAGTCAACATCGAAGGAATATATTTTACTAAATGTTTATCTAAAAAAGCGTCTTTTTGTTTCTACTAAACTATATCAATTGAAGACCTTCGCTTGCTTGCTTTGTTTTCAATTTCTAGCCTTTGACTATCGAACATATAGATATTCGTTATTTCTAAGTGAACAGTAAAGAATACCAAGACTGTAAAATAGGTTATTTCCCCAGAGTATAGGATCATTGTCCATGTAACATATAATTTTCACTCGTTGTCTGTACATTCTCGTTCAACGAGTTAACTGATAGCCATATATTATCATGCCTCCAGGGTAATAAGTACTTGATATAAGCCGATCAGACCCCTAGTGGTGAGAGCACTGTCGAATATTCTATAGATTAATTTAGGAGGGAGAAGGACCGTTTATATCTACCTTCTCGCGTACCCTTAATTTTCAACCTTAATTTATACAAATCCTTTATAGTGAAATATTCCTTTTATGAAGGGTTTTCTGTGCATGCATTTTTTCATGCCTACTTGCCAATTTTAGGAAGGAAATATTGTCCAATTATTTTGACCGTAATTATACTAATAATTCATGAAAATGTTTTTTCTAACCACAACATTCCACTGCACTCGAAACTGAAAACCAATGAAGAGAATATACAGAGAAAAAAAGGAGTTACATTCCATTCTTTTGTCTTAATCTAACCAAACTTTTCAAACTTGTTTAGTTGTAAAAGGGCTTATATTCCCATATTTGGCCCAGGATCTCAAGCATAGCCTGTCTTACAGAGTTCGTATAAGTTTGTGGGTAGTTTTCTACAATGCTATTGCGCTGTGCTATAAGGTGGCACCACTAACCGCAAACGAAAACAACGATGTTTTGATCGCCAACCCATGCATTTTCCTCATTATTTCTTGAGAATCAACCCAAACCAAGATCGACAACCGTTGAATTTAGTCAAACTTGAAACAGTCAATGGCCATAAACAAAGCAACATTATTGTTAGAGCTGAGAATTGTTAACCCTGCCTCTCACACTGATTATTTAGGCACTTATTTTGAAGAGAACTTGGGACCGTTGCAACGTTTATCATCTAAAAAGAGTTTTTTTTAAAGTAAAAAAAGAGCGTGGAAATTTTCTTGCCATCTGCCATAAATTCTTGGTAAAGATTGTTGTTCAGTAAAACAATTTTAAAGCTTCTTAAATCATATATATATATTTCATTCCTACACTTCTCATTTCCCATCATGGGCTCTATTTATTCCCATAATATATCTTTGACAGATTAGGCAACAGAGCTATTTAATTACGGTCTAATTTCAGGTTTAGATAAACATGCAGGGGTATCTTATATATCTCTTATGGTCATATTTATAAGGCCATCAGACAATTACTGTCAGCTAAAAATGTCCCCTGGAAAGGAAAAGCGATACTTGTTACTGTTTTAGATAGCGGTTAGAGAAAAACCTTAATCCGTACGAAAAATAATCCGCATTCCTTCTGTACAATAATGAAACATTCTTAAGATTTGAATAGTTTTGATGTGCCTTGATAGAGTTCAGCGAAATTAGAAGGATTTTGCTGGTAATATAGCAATCTTGTTTTTTCATATCTTTTCTACGATATACTGTTTCACAAGACTTGAACGTATGGTCGGTCCTCTTATCTTACGTTTGAACAGCGTATCCTTCGTGGTGGTGTTGTTCATAAGATCAAATTCATTTGATACTATGCAGGGATAGCTTCTAAACGAAACAACTAGATTTACGATATGTTTTGCGCGATGACTTTGATACTCAGTAAGTGAACTATCAATGTTGTACAAATTAGTGCAAAGTTTTGAAAATTTGTGCAATTTCTAACAAAGTTTTTCATGGATTTATGTCATGCATTCTACTTTAGCAACGTTGTTTTAGTTTTTGAAGCACTTTGCTTTGAAAGATAACTTTGACAATTCAATTAGTTAATCGCTCGTATCTTAAAGTTTGTTGTCATTGGTACAGATTGGCGCTATGAAAGAGTATTTTTAATCTAAGAAACGTATATCTCAAAAAATACTTTGGTGTGAGTCTTTTTCCAAAACACGTTTTCATATAATCTGCATCTTTGACAATGCAATTACTAGACCCCTTATCTTACATTAGACAATGTATTCTTTGTGGATTAATTCATGAAGGTCAAATCGGCAAATCAGAAGAGGCACTAGCTCTTTATCTTTGGCTTTGTTCCATGACACTACCATTGAGTTATATATTTTTAAGATAATCTTAAACGATTGCTGTTGATATCGATATAACACAGTGTGGTTGGGTTTTCATTTGGTTCTGACCCGTTAAAACCATCTTCTTGACCTCGGAATTATCTGTAAAGTCAATAAATTAAACTCTGAGTCATCGAACAACTATGTCTTAAATCGCTTGCCAACTCTGTAAAGCTGGTAATAGTAGCATACTTTACTTCTCGTGACATTGCTTTCTTGCAGCATTTGCATGGTTACCTAGTCTCCTACGCAGCCGCTGTTAGGACGTAGAGATGACCCTAACAACGGCAGCGTAGGAGACTGGAAAACATCGCAGGCTACTGACATCATACATGTGTAATTTTCGAAATGTTGTAAAGAAAGTTTCTGCAACACTTTCCGTTTTTTGTTGCAAGACCTTCAGTTGCTGTTGCAATATTTGCGCTTCCATGTAACATGCTCTATATGTTCTACATTGGCCCATGCATGATCATCTGTTTTATGTATAGAATGATATCAAAACTGGCTCTAGAAACAGTCGCGACCTATAACGGTTAGGAGTTATCATCTCAATCAGGATCAGATAGTCTTAAATATAGCACGTACTTCACACAAGGTATGTCACGTAAAATTGACATTTCTGTCTTCGTTCTTATGCCAATCGATTATCAAATCCTGTGCCTTTCTGAGATGTGGGATCGAGCTCGAAAAATCATAGATCGCATAACGGCAATGCTGGATAAATATGTCGATTATATTATTTACGAATGTATATATTTCAGATTCTATACTATCTTTGTTGTCACCTTGCTCAAAATTGATGTTAAAGCAAAAACATCCTGATGTAGATACCAAAGACAAATAGAAAGTACGTTTGACAGTTGATTCAGAGATATTTAAGATAAGACTGAAGATAAGGAATAAAATAGAATAACATATGAAAGAAGACAAGATTGGAACAACGTCTGACTCAGAAAAATCTGAGCCCTAGACGAGATGATGAAATAGAAGATAAGACGAGTAAATAGATCCGAACACTGACCCTTCAACAAGCCTGTGCACATCCTGACTTTTGCTTGCAAATTTTAACCTGCTAACCTTTCTCCGGTCTCTGAGCATCAATAAGGGGGAGGGGTTGAGTGAAAGTGGCATACTTCCAGTGGTTGGTTGGTAGGAGTCCAAAGCTCCCTTGACAAACCAAAAAGGAAGAATTTGGTTGCTATGAGTTCCACAGTTTCCTTGGCGATCAAAAGTGCTTGGGAATCCATGCGTGGTTGCTAGTGATGATTTTCAAAGTTCTCTTGGCAACCATCAGTATTTTACTTGAATGTGCAGAATTAGGTTGCTATGGTTTCTACAGTTTCCTTGGCAACCAACAGTGCTAAGTGGTTAGAATTTAGTTGCTATCAAGGGCGGATCAGCAGGAGAAAAACAAAGCAAAACAAAMSKRAARAWTWA